TAAGATGAAAGAGTAACAAAACGTTTATGATGTCTAAGAAAAAGTAATCATCAAGTCCATTTTAGACAATGCTGGCAATGGCCGATATGGCTGCCCATACTGGACTCTATTGTTTGAAATATTGGTGCGTATAGGATATTTTTTGTGGAGTCTGCAACATTCCAGATGAGAATGTCATGTGAAAGCCATAACTCTATTCAGGCGGCCCTCTTTTTAACGGTCAAACTCTATCCAGCGGTCATCTGATTGTTAAAAAGAGGCCCGACAGAATGGAATATACAATGGATGCTATTGTCTCCTTGAGCCACTCTGAACCACAAAAGGGCGAATGGTTAAGCAATTGACTATAGACTTGTCAGTGAAACATTGTTCAATTCTTCAAATTGTACGAGTGTCGGAAGAAACTTACAATGTTATGATACCGACGCTCACATACGCCTTTTCTGAGATAGCAGTTTGCATTGCATTGTGGTCTAGATTCGGTACAAACATCTTTTATTTATGCTGCCAAAAATGGAGTTAGACCACAATGCACTATGATTTTGTATTTCAGAAAAGGCCTGTCCATCGATTACAAAAATATTCGGTGATTTTCGAGAAAAAAAATCACTTTCATCATAGGAATCGAAGCGAAAAGTATCAAACGTTATTAACGTCTTTGATTTTAATTTTTTTTAATTTTTTTTTTTTTTTTGCCATTCAGCGATTGATGCTGACAAAAACTGATTATTACCAATATCACTTGAGAGGACTCTAGGACATGCTAGGAGGATTAATATCGTGAAAGCACTATAGTTCCGATTCTTTCGATCACGTGCGTCGTAGAAGTCGAAGCTGTCGGAGATGACTCTTAGTACATACATACAGATGTTCACCGACATTGGGCATCATAATGCTTAATACGAAGATTTGTTGGGTGTAATGCAACTTGATATTAGGAGGCCATTCAGTCCAGTATAACCGGAGGCAAATAGGCATTAGGCATTGGTGTGTAGTACATACATGCAAATGTTCACCGACATTGGTCATCATAATGCTTAATAAGATTTGTTGGGTGTAATGCAACTTGATATTAGAGGGCCATTAATAACCGGAGGCAAATAAGGCATTTGGCATTGGTGTGATGTTCATTTTTTCATTAATTTCGGAATGCGAAGATTCCACTTAAGTTTTCGACCTCTTAATTTCCGACGTCATAGCTCACAAGTGAATAGGTCATATATAAACATAAAGCTAGGCCGTACAATTTCTAAAAGTGACTAGACCTCTTCTTATATACAAGTACTTTTTCAGCAGCAAGTGAAGGGTTAAAAAACAGCCTGTTTTGTGCAGACGAGACGCTATTCARTCCAGAACAACTGATATCTAATTAAATTATCCACCATTTTTCAAGTTTTAAGCTTCGTTAATAGCAGCCGATATGATTTTATTAGACTATTACTATCCATAGTTAACTTATAACATGCACAACATAGGCCAATATTCCATTACTGAGATCTTAACTTTCTAGTTTTATTCTTACGTAATCAACGTGGTCGCTTTTCTCACGGAACCTAGCATGATTGTGGGTTCAAAACCACTCCAATACCATTATCGACTAAGCACTGAGTGTTTTCTAAGCAGGCAATCTGTATTCAGCATCAAGTGGCACTTGATACACGTAGGACRTCATTCTAAGAACTGACAAAGATCGTTATAGTATATTGCATAGCCATTTTGCAGGCTCGTTTCATACTGAGAAAGATCACTAACAGAACAACAGGTAACCCTTCTTTGAAAACTTTGAAAAGGCAATTACTTCTAAAACTCAGTTTACAGCACTTGCAGTCAGATACACATGCTTTCGCTTCGCACAGGAAAAGTCTAAAACCAAATCAGGTAGCCAAGGAAACACTGTAGATTTTAATAATATGACACTATGACACAGAATGCAAAAGTTCCACACCAATTTGACTAAAACTCTCAACGTACGAACCACTGCCAGGTGCAAATCCCAGGGGGGACTCCCTTATAAAAATTGGTAGGTATGCTCKACGGACGGACTGAAAAATGACCMTTCTTCAACTTTTGTTTTCGATTTTCGAAAATTGACCCCAAAAAGTACGTAATCAGCTCAGGACCCTAAAAGGTACGCGAGGGTTTTATTTTCGACCCTAAAAGGTCCGTCGAGCATACCTATCAACTTTTATAAGGGAGTCTCCCCCCGGGGTACAAATGACATCGCCTTTGATTTTTAAGAAGGACTGTTCAACAAAAGCCACACCATGATTGGCATGCATTTTAGAACTGAATAACTGCCTAGAAACAAWTCGAAATATATGTAAAACGTAGATTTGCAGAATACYGTTCYCACCGAATGAAAAGTCCTTAGACGTACGCGATCTATCGAGTAATTGAAACAGATATTTTCAGCTAAGTAATTATATCATTTAAAAGCATGTGAATTGGAGAAAGTRTTGACTGGTAAATGGTATTACATTTGATCTTCTTAGAGAGTCTTTCCTAAAAAATAGCTGCACCTTAAGTAGAGAAAGGTAATTTAACACACTCATAAAACACATTTAACACATCATAAAAAATGGRCTTTTCTGTCTTAAACTGTTGCCTAAATGATGTTAGGATAGTTCTTTTCGTGTTATACACATCATATTCTAATATGGCTGACTAGCCCTTGATGCCTCGTTTTCGTAAAATTATTCTTTTGTCTTTGAGCTTGAGTGACTTTAAAAGAAAAAAACAATTTCATGAAAACGAGACATCAAGGGCTAGTCAGCCATTTTGGAATAAGGTGCCTGCACACATTGAAAGACGCGAAACATCGACAAAGACACGTATATTGGAATTGATTCCGCATTGAATCAAGAAAGTGTTGCCGAATCAGTACTTCATCTTGCAGAAAGTAAACAGGTGAAAAGCAGGTGCTAATAATATATTCTCACGGTTTTCTGAAATTATATAGCTTTGCTTCTAAAGAGAGCAAGCTTACTTTTAAGTTAAAAGTCTCAACGTACTCTTGGACAGAAATATGCATAGAGTAACATTAATTCAGAATTTGAATTTTGTTGCCATTATCTTAAGCATTCAKTTAAATGTAAAAAATATTCTACAATAACGTAGCTATAGTAGAGTACAAACATTAAATGTGTGCAATACTTTCCACTATTTACTTCAAAATAGTGTTAATTAAACAATGGAAAACAATAGAATTAGCATAATTTAGCAGTATTTAGTGGCATTTATGTTGCACAATTTTAGTGTTTGTACTCTATACTACAAACGAGCTTTAGCAATACAAAGATTGATTTGGACATGCGACCGTTATCCTGGTCACTCACTAAGCACTACGAACTCGGACTGTTGCATAATACAGAGTAAGTGGAACATAACGAAATTATATATTCATCAAAAMCCAGAGCTAGAAATACACTGAAATTTTAATCCTTTAGGCTTAGTGTAAAGACCTATAACAACGTCTTCATTCTAATGGCATATAACGTGGGATGTTCGTGGGGATTTTAGACTCGTTAGAAAAGAAAATTGCTATCGGAATTAATCCTGTTGGATTGTTTCGTAAGTTCCTCTGTTTAACAAGATATAAGAAGCTGCAAYGGGGAATTTGAAACGTTATGATGAAAATAATGATGAAGTAAATTGTTCTTTCCCCAGTATTTTATTCTTAAGTTTCTTTCCTGTTTCCTGACATTGTCTTAAGTATTCCATTTTATAAGTAAACCGAGTTGACAAAAATCTCTTTCTTTCCGTGACAGAGTTTTTTTAAATTAAGGTACGAACCCCACACATATTGGAGAATAAGTTTGAATATTAAACTATTTAGCTATCGCCAAAACGTTTAAAATAAAGAGCTCTCTTCTTTCAAATTTACTCGACATCAGGCAATTGTACATTTTAACGTAGAAATAAAATCACCTTTTACTTATATTCATTTTCATTTAAAATTTGCATACAATGCGCGTACAGGTTTTTTAATAGAGAGTTTTAGATTCGTGTTTACTGCAAACGCCAAACGTTAAATTGGTTTTTATGCTTTGTCTCAAAATTTCAAACAAGCGTAAAAACGCTTCTAAAGGAATAGTGATGTGCTTATGTACGAATAAGTGATCTATTTTATACACAATCTCGAAAAAGCGGAGCGTTAATACAGAAAAACAGTGATCACGTGATCAGTTTTGACGTTTGGCGTTCGCCGTAAACGCGAATCTAAAACTCTCTAATACTACAAAATAAGCTTCACAACTATTCTAATTATGTCTTCCAGCGATTAAAATGAAGTGAGTCGCAGTATATCCCTAGCGTCTTATCATGAAATGAATTATAGATTATCAGCAAAGACTTAATAATGTTAATTCAAAAATACTTGTTTGTATTCTTGAAAAAACTGTTTACTCAACCAATTKTTGTAATTTTTTAGGTTTTTGCAGAATTAACTCTTGTCATTGTCATCAGGTATATTTTCAAAGAAATCTTCTCCAAGAAAACCAAGTAAGAAATTTGCGAATTGTGTTCTAGTCTCATTTTTCAATTACTTCTCGTTTTTTCTTGAATCTTTTTGCTTGCTTTATGTTTACATGTCGTTATAGAAACGTTTTGGTCCTTYATGAATGATACTTATTGATAATTTGAAAGAYCTAYGAATCACCCTAAGGCTGCCATAAGGGTGCTAAATGSTACTCTGTTTAAATTCATCAAATTAACGAATTTTTACACGCAAGATACTGATGAGTTAATAACTTAAGGTATCATMAGTCTGTTCATGTGTTTTTGCCATTGGATAGTCTAACGACAAAACAAACGTTTAACAGGTGTATGTGTTTTATATGCACTCAGACTCGGTTATCGAGTTAATCGAGAAGAATCGAAATAGCCTCTGGTAAAACATTTAGCAAAATTGATAGAATAKACTTGGGTGGGCMGGAGCGATATCTCTTCTGGCGATCTAAGTCAAAGGTCAGTTAAATGAAATAATGATAACAATGATCACATGATGATCAGGAATCATAAACATCGCAATTTTTATGGAAGAAAAAGCCCCGAATAGTTGCGGAAGCACGGGCACAAATCTAGGATCTAATGATCATTGCCTTTATTTCATCTTAATTTTATCGAAATCAAGTTCAATGCCGTGGAAGATAGATAAATTAAACTTGAACGCGCGTGCCTGGACGCCAGTAAAAGTAATCAAATACGATTCCCTATTAGATAGCATATCCTCAGACTAGAATTGCAAAATACTAGAATGCTTCTACGATCTAATCTGTTGATATAAATGTTGTAGTTGGTGTGTTTTAGTTGTTTTGATTTTAAYACAAAAGGTGGCGGAAAACAAGACTGTATAACACAGTGCTCCCCCTGCGTTCACKGACAAAGTTTGGCCGAAACATTTCAAATTGACTGTGGCATTTTTTGCAATAGATAACCAAACATATACTAAAATAATATTYTTAAATATTATTAAAGTAATACTAATTTTATTTAATTTGTTAATGATAAATTAGTATCTAGTAGAAATCAGAGAGATATGAATTTAAAGACTGCATGGCACTATGAGATACAAGATATAGAAATACAGGAAAGTTATAGTGCTAGGAAAGAAGATATTCCGGGAGAAAGACCCTTGGAAATTAATTTCCGAATGTCCTCCTTCCTAGCACTATAACTTACCTTACCTATATCTAATAGAAATAACTGAAYGGTGAATCCACTACTAACACTTCTAATATATACCAGTGTGCAATACTCCAGTTGAAAGAGAGGTAGTAGGCACACTACTAGTTAGTACAGACGACATATTTGCACTATCAAACTACTATTCTACTAACTTTTTCACGGGTYAGGTGTAAGGACAAGAAAACTGAGTTTAAATAAGTAACATCTTAAAACGCATCAAAAATGAAAGCTATTAGCATCCTGGCAGTGCTTACTGGCTTATGTAAAGATTATAGTTAATTTTGTCCTTGTGTAAGCACAAGTTGTGTTTCATTCAAATTGCACCAGCTATATATCATTTTTAATTAAAGTGGTATCCATAGTAACAACAGCTGAATTAGCTCACATTGCCCTCTGGCATAAGTCCAGTAATAATGAGTGAATTTTTACTTAATTGTTTGAAAAAAAGTTGTTTGTTTAGGCCTGACAACCGTATCCTCGTCTAAATTGAACGTTAAAATTTCTAATTTGGCCAAATAAACTAGAGTCATAAATCGATGACTCTCTTTGGTAAGTGTCACTTTGAACTGTCCATCATGTATTGGCACTTCTTCCCTCTCTAATTCGCATTCACTGAAGGGGACTATTAAGAAGACTTTCTTCGAAACYTTTCTGGAAAGTAAGGTAAGATAAATCGCTTATTTAGTACAGAAGTGGAGGTATGAAAAAAATGAGTTTCTACAATTTGTACTCTGTATAGTTTTCCTTCGGAAAGGTTTTCAGTTACTCTAAAAATGTTTACTAGCTATAACTTAGAGATGCATAAGAAACTATATTACCTCTTACAATATGAAAGAGTTTAAAAATTGATTTGCGTACAAACATTGTTACAAAAATATCTATTTCTGAAGTATGCGTAAATGATTTAAACGCGTCTGTGCTTAATTTAGTTAAGAAAAGGGTATAAAAATTGGAAATGATAATGCGTTGCAATCATTTATTCGTATTTTGTCGTTTCAAATGACTTCAAAAAGCATTCAGTCMATTTCCAATTTGCGCCGGAACAAGTTCAAATGAGTTTTCAGTTGACCGGTAATCGCTTCACACATTGAAAATAGGCATGACATTTTATACTATATTTAGGACAACAACATGCAAATATACAAATAGAATTTGCTAGGTTAGAAATTTCACATGCAGCCACTTATCCCACACTATTTTCTTTCTGAACATTGTCGCCTGAATATATATTATTTTTTAAGCTTCTTTTCAGATTTTTAAGCGTCTCTTAAACTGGTAATGAAAGGTACTACAGTAAGCATGCATACTAGAGACGTAATGTAATGGACAGACTATTATTCACAATCTGGCACAGAGATTGCACATATATATATTAAATATTTAATTAATGCAATGCTCCTTGACAAAGTTGAGCACTTTTTTTGAAAATATTTTCGATRATTTTAAGTAAATAATTAATTCGATGTRTTAAGAACAAGCAGAAGTACATAGCAAGGTACTAGCTAGATACGAACATATCTTTCTCTGGATAGATTTTCTATGTAAACCAATAGGTTATGGAAGAGAAACGAATGGGAAAACGAAAAGAATATTAAAAGAACAAACCCAAAAGAAGTATGACAAGAAGATCAACAAACCCTCACTGATAAATGGATAAATGATCCGACAACACTGAAAAAAAACAATAATTCATTACCTGGAAGAGGGGAGAGGGGGAGGGAGTGACAGGGAAAGAGAAAATGGATGGAAGCGAATAAAGAAAATTGGGAAAATTAGGAACGAATTAGGAAAAGAGAAGTGAAAATGGAAGGAACGAARTGAAATTCAGATGAAATAATATCCGGCCAATAGTCMTCATTAGAAGGGTGGCTGWATTGGAAAATTAATAAMGAATTAAAGAAGGAAATACCAAACTAAAATCCCTTTTATCTCAAATCTTGTTCAGCTAAATTTAAAACCTTAGTTTATTCAGCACAATAGTATACATAAAATCAAATGCGTACATCAATAAAACATTGTATGTAATCAAAACTACTTTGCACATAATAGCTGTGAGGAGAGGAACAGCCGAGTGACGCAGCATCACTAGAAAGTAATTGGCAATAATAAAATCAATTCCGGTTTTGACACAAACATAAGTGATATCGTCAAACGTATTGGCCTCTCTGTTATTCAGCCCTTTAAAGCACTTTATTCTACACTAACTTATCGTAATATCTGGATAGAGTTTTTCAGTTTTGAGAAAAAAGAAAGGACGGCTTTACGCTTTTAATTTTTGTGAGCTAATGAACTTGTTTCATCAATATTTTTAAATGATGAACATCSAAACGGATAATAAACAAAAACACTCATGATACAGCGGAAACTATTACACTTTAGCCCATAAAAAACGKCCACACTGAATGTATATTCAAAATGTTTACGTCATACTAAACAATAAAGACATGAGTGACTTTTCAGTTGACATATAAACCATCTGAAACATTTCTTTTTTTTTTTCTTTTTTTTTTTTTGTTGTTTCTTTCTGGTTTTATCGAAGTGAAGTAGCACCATAGACAGCTAAAAAAAAGTCTATCTAATTAGCCTAAGTACCGGTTGGTATATGATTCATCGCAATATGAGAAAAAGCAACCCAGAATGTTCTATGTGAGTAATGTAAACAGGAAAAGCTTTTGTTATAAGTACTGRTAATAACACTGACAAGAGGTGCAGTAATTTTCTTTAGCTACGCGCTCAGAGCAGATGAACAGTACTAAACTCGTGAAAAAGGTATTTGACTTACACCTTTTCAAACTTTCATTTTCTTTCTTTCTCACAACTTTTTTCAAGAGTTACCAATTGTTTCGTGGTTCTATTTCGAAGTTTAGTATTACTGAGCAATACCTCTTTATTTCCGAAAGAAAATTGCACGAATGTGTTTATTTCATAAGTTTTATTSCAACTAAGGCGTACCTCGTGCACTGTAAAAAGCAGATGAAAACATGAAATATTCAAGATCTTTTTCCAGTATTTTATATTATAAATGTACGTTTAGATTCGGTGATATCGTTTGAACAACAAGAGGCAATCGTCAACGGAAGCTATTCAAGCCATTATACAACCAGTACCTTTCATTTTCAAGTGCTAAAAAGCTTGAAAGTTATATAGTCTTTTTATCAAACGTTTTCGGTCCCAATCGTACACGACTAAACCGAAGGGAGTATGGGCATGAGTACCGGTACTTCTCAAGCAGTAAAAAAGGGGAGTGGAAAATCACCTTTGCCTCGCGTTCCGCGCAATAACATTCTAGAGTCGGAATGAATATAAATTTTCTGTCCAGAATGCCACATTATTTCAATCTTGTTCAATCGCTGAAAGATTCCCATTACAACTCATTATATGTGTACGAGTATACATTGTCTGCCTCGCACTTCCCAGCTTCAAATTCTTGAGTGTTTCTAACCCTTAAAAGATCCCTTTTAAAGTTTTTTACTGGAGTTGAAAACAAACAAACAACTTGACTGAAACGTGCTCAACGAAACGTCGTGCACTTGTAAAATGACTTATTTTTAGATCTTTAGAGAGAGCTTGTACTTACTTTGTTTACAACGGTTAAATAAGTACTCAATTTGAAAACATTGAATTTTTTGACATGCTAATGCTAGATGTCAATGTTTTTTAAAAGCAACTATTTATCGATGCATT